ATTCAAGAATAAAAGATGTTGGTGTTTGGAAATTGGGCGTTTGGGCTTGAAAACAGGGTGCAAGTGAAGGCCACTTGCATTTTGTTGATAAGCTTTTGTTTGGCACATAGACTGATTGCGCCCACTAAGTCACGTGACCATTAGTGGGTAATAATAATAATAAACCATAGTGTACGTCACCTTGAAGTCCCTGTGCTTTGTATATTATTATCCCTGTAACATTGGGCTCGCAACATCTGAACATTAAAATAAAGCCATATTTTGGTATAGTACTTAGCCCATCAGTAGTCCAAGTAATTTACTGACTGTTGACATTATTAGTAAAGTAACACTGAAAACACATTTTATTTAAGGACGACTCCATTTTTGTTGATGTTTGATACCTACTAGTGGGCACGTGACTTAGCGGACTCAATCTGTCTATTTTGATGGACTTGAGGGAGAGACTTTTGGAGGATTTCTTAGGTTTTGAAACACGAAACATGGATCTTGAGTTGTGAAAAACACTACTTTAGACAAAAAAAAAATCACTTCACACTTTGTCGTGGGTTTCTATTTATTTTTGTTTTTGTAAATTAAACATAATTAACCACTACATTTGGTGGTGTTTGTATATTTTGAATGAGAAAGCTTTACTTACCTTGGTTTTTTGTAATTAGCGATACTAGTGAAATGCTGAAGGTAGGCGTACAGTTGTGCAATGGCAGCATACACTTCATTAGATGTATGGATTGTGGTTTTGTTTAATTCATAAAGGCTGAAAATAGAGCCCGATATCTTTAGTAATGATTGCAATGCACTGTGAAGGTACTTCTCATGAAATAGTGCTTTATAAGAAGTTCGTATTAGTTTGTAAGGGCTGAGACATCTTACAGTTAAAGCAAAAGGCCTTCTTCTCCCATTGAACTCTTGAGGTTTATATTTGAAATTTCTGTGTTGCAAACGGAAAGAATCTAAATTGATGGAGCGTGTATTGATAATTGGGATTACCTTCGGAAACACTCGCAACTCTCAACATTATCTGTTCTTTGTGATTGAATACTCTGTATTATTCGGATTTGGGAATCTTAACTGCTACCAGTCCTTGAGATTTGGTGTGTAACTTACCATGTATGACGATATTGTTGCAGGATTTTGCCACTTCGCAACAAAGAAGGCTTTACTTTGTACAGTACTTTTCATCTTTGTAGTAACTATGCACTAGCGTCTGATTTTGTTTTCTTGTTGAAATCTAAATTTCTCTTCTGAAATACGTATGTGTCATACATTTCCTGTTGTACTTTTCATTTCCTAATTGTATTGCAGAATCAAATTTCATCCATATTTTGCGTAGACTAACCGAGCAATGAAAGTCACGTTGAAGGTTGTAGGTCAGATATTCAGACTCTGTGCTCCTTCCACTGAGATTAACAAAATGCACGTGCACATTAAATTTCAAAAAGAATGTTACTTGCATAATACGCAAAGAACCTTATCTGTAATAGTTTGTACATGTATATTGTAGATGTACGCTGCATACTGTCCTTGCCAAAATAGACCTCTACAGACCCCCCCCAATTTAAGTTCCCAAGTTTTTGATATGTCAAGAAGAACTATGTTTTTTTGTAATCTGAAAAGCTGGGGGGTAGACTGTATTCACACATGTACTCTTACAAGCACATGGCAAATGGAAAAGCATTCAGTGTATTTGTTGCTTTAAAACTAAGTTCCGTTTACATGTTTAAAAGTATACAGTGTGCCTTCATTTAATTTTTGTAACTAGGTAAAGAGCTTGTATATTGTGACTAGGAAACATTAACAGAACACATTTTTGAGATACTGAAATTCATAGTATGCATTTGAGAAAAGAAAAGGATTGTTGTGAAAGATGTCTATATTATCTGTTTTGTGTGGATAATGTGGACGATTCACAAACAGCACGCCACCAAGAGTTTGCCACTGACAGGCCACTTTTCGAGTTTATGGTCGACACGCTGCCACGATTGAGCGCACTTTGGGGGTATTTTGATTGATTGATTTGATTGGGTTGATCGATTTGATCGGGTTGATCAATTTGATCGGGTTGATCGGGGGGTTGGGTTGGGTTGGGGAGTTGTTCCCTGCCCCACACAGAACCACCATTTGACTACTTAATACCCATTACCCATTCGCAATAAGCCATTTCAAATTTTTAACTAAAATAAACATTCAGAAAAAAAAAAATTAAAGTTTCCCGGGCACAGCGTAGTCAGCGAATGGGACTTGTTGACTATTTATCCCATAATACACCACAAAAAGACCTCTCCATGACAACCTCTTGGTGGCGCATTGCATTGTGAGTTGCCCGTATTTTACACTAGATTTGGGATGAGCAGTGACAAAGGGTTTGGTAGAGCAATGCAAGAATAAGAGGAAACAGCCTCATACGGGGTAAGACTTGGGAGGAGTTTGGTGGGGTTATAATAGGAATTGGAGGGGCAGCGACAGTGATAATGGGAGGATAGTGCAAGAATGTGGGGTGTTTTAACAAGGGGAATGTAGGAATGAGAGGGACAGGGATGCGAGGGTAACAAATTGTGAGAATTTGGCTGGGCAATAAAGACGGGAAGGGATAAGGCTTGAAAAGAGTGATTGGGCAAGGTAATGTGGGCATTGGGGGAGCAAGAGACCCCTTGCTCCCTCCAATGCCCTCCCACATAGTGGGGATAAGTAGGGAAGGGTAACTTAATTGGAGAAAGGCTTTATAATTGGAGGCAGTTGGGAAGGCGGAGTGGGAGAGGCAAAGGATTAGGCTTGAGGGAGAGGTAAGGGCAACATGAGAATCCAAGTTCTTTTTCTGCAACAAAGTACTCTTCTTCAATGTATGAAAACTGTTTTACATTTACATTTGGTTAAATGTATTGAAAAGTGCACTTATTGAAACGTTTAAAATTATCCATGCTTTAGGGCACTGTTGCCGTGATGTCATTTGTAGAAGACAAAGTTCAGTGCATAGATTTTTCTGTTCAAATTGTGAACCCAGAATTTACACATTGAAAACATTTCTGAGAAAGGGATTGATGCTTGCTTATTTCTGCAGACGTACGATGTGTCAATGACAAGGAATCAGCCCAAAAATCCCAAATTTAGTCAGCAAAAGTACAAAAATGCAACACTTTTTGTGTCCACAAACCAAGTAACATTGAGGCTTTCTTCACGGCATGACATCAAAGTTTTACTCATGAATATGAAAATTGCATCAGCGTAAAACGAAAAAAGCAGTAAAACACATTTTGAATACTGAAACAAAATGTGAAAATAAGGTTAGCTGAAACACAAAGGTACATTTTGAAGGTTTGTATTAGGACAAATGGATTGCAACTATTCTAAGTAGTTTCAAAGTTCTGTTTAGATTGATCTGCACATTAATTTAAATGTACTTTAAACAGATTTGAGATCAGTAAGCCAAGTAAACTTTTCCATGATAGAACACACTGTGAGTCAATGCATTTTTCACGGGTGTTTGTATTTGTTCATGGAGAGGAACGAGTACCATATACGGACATGACTAATTTCCCCTGCAGTGGTTTATCAGCTATTACACAAAGCAATTACAGCTTAAAATGTAAAAATTAGCAGGAAATGTTACAGCATGTACAGAGAAAGCACCAGAGTGACAAGGGCAATACTGCCAGAGATGAAAAGTTGTCTACAATGATATGGCATGTTGTATTGTGCATTCCTCATCACTGTTCACTTCCTCATAATTTTTTTTTCCAGATTGTTATGCAGCTTCGGTATTGGTTTCCCTTAAATTGTTTGGTTTGGTTTTCCAAGTATTCTCCGTTTTTCAGACTTGATTTCTTTCCTGGTTTTGTGAGGGTAAATGACTCATACAGCATAAGCAATAAGCCACTCGGCCAAATTTATAACAATTGTACAGGATTTTACAAAATCTAATCAAACGTAGTGCAGTCCCTGGCAAAACAGCCAACATCTACTGTGATAATGCCCATGGATTTTGTAAACCTCAAAAAGAATTACCTCGTAAGCCACAATTTTCATATTATATGCAAATTGCAACTGATGACCCCAATGTGACCTTTACCATGGCCATGCTGTGAATTTGGTTTTTAAGTCTGTACTTACCAGTTTCCTTCCCCACTCCAAAATTCAAATTCAGTTCAGACAGGGAACACACTGTCTCACTGGGGAGGTAGGGGTTCAGACCTGTGGAGGTATTGCCAAAGTTTGTTTCGAATGTTTTATTACTTCACACATAATAATCACGAGAGCCAGGGAACAACTCGCTGTAAGAAGCATACTGCTGTGGTAAGATACTCTGAAGAGGCATCACTGCTTGCAAAACAAATGAGTGATGCATCAATGGACTGATTGATCTAACTCCACCCGAGGGGTAGGCCTCACCCTGTTGTAGGGTACCAAGACAAACTGCTTTGCAATCTGATGCAGCATTTCTCCATTTTTCTCTCTCGGATGTGTAATTCTTTTTATTGCTCCTCTCACTTCCACATTTACATATAAAACACAAAGGAAAACAGAAAAACCTGCTACAGCATCTTGGAAAACTACAGTCGTATCTATATGAAGCTACACACTTACCACAAATTCTTCTCTCTGCGTTCCTTATTCCCTCTATTGCCTGATCTGCGCAAGTCTTAGTTCTCTTTTATTTACAACTGGTCACAGGACGTAACACAAGTCTACCTCCTTCTCTCTATGACTTCATGGAAAACACAACGGATCATCTAATAGTTAATTCCATTGGTTGGTAGAAATGAAATGGGATAAAGTGATCAAGCACTTTGACCAATCAGATCCACTCTTACAGAAGCATTAAGAAATGAAACGTGAAATGAAGCCTTTCTACCACTTTCTAACACATTCTCTTGAATAGTACAATTCAGTCAAATTCCAATACCGGTACCATTTTTACATGTTTACATCTAACAAAATATGTTTTTGTTTCATCTTTACAACAAAGGCAAGAACACAATTTGTAACACCTGAATATATACTTCTCTTTTTGATGCCAGAAAGTGCCACAAAAATACAGAAATTTTGCCTCAAATGACAATGAAGAATTATATATCTATTATATTTTGTGTCCTTCACAATTTTAAATAAATACAAACATTTAAAGATTCACACATTTGTTAAGCATGAAGGATAAAGTGATGAGTTTGGAGATCAATGGGCAAATTGTTTTTGATTTATCCATGGTTTCATTGTAGTTGTCAACCCTCGTCTAAAATAGCATGGTTTTTCGTCTTTTCCGAGAAGACCTACATTATGTTATGATACTTTCTGGGTTGCCAACTTTTACTAAGCACGTCTACAGACAACAGGACTGTGGCGTCAATCAGTAGAGTAAAAAAAGGAGTAAAACCATTTTGAGAACATGACTACACATTTCAAAGCAGAAATTTGTACCAAATGACGTTTGTTTCTGAATTCTGATTTCTTACAAAACAAATTACTTTAGAGACAGTGAAGTTTTTGAAAATTGATCAGCCAAATGCACAAAAAAGCTGAAGTTCACTACAAAGTCACCGTAACTACCAACCAACAACAAAATGTAGTCCATAAACTACAAGAACAAGACCAAATAATCACAGATTGATCCAGGTAGGGTATATTAAACTATAATCCTGTTTAGCATAAACTACAAACCAATTTAAGCACATCACTATAATAGTCTGATACATTACTTCATTCTCACCCGCTGCCTACTACAACCGAACCTCCAAATCACCTCATAAATTTCTGTGGCTAATTTATATAAAGGCACAAAAATAGACTAAGCACCAAACATTTTGTGAGATTTTCCTTTTTTCATAATATTTAAGCCTGCCTAAGGTGGCCAAGCAGTCTGCAATGCCACTATGCAGGTACAACACAGCAAATTTGATGTGAACTGACAAGACTTTTTAAAGATCCAGTTATCCATCCGTTTGTTTTGGAGATTGTGGCGCATCTGTGGCTGACACACGGTTGCACAAGAAACACAAATTCTCATTTCCAGACTAGTCTGGCAAAATGTCTTGAGATGGCTGCTTATAAACTGTTCCAGGTGTTTCAATGGAAGTGGAAGTTGAAGAGAATTGCTAACAAAAGTATGGCAAACTGATACTGTGACATAGTGTTGTTTTTAATTCTGTATGGTGTACTGTAAAATATAAAAAAATAAAAAAATGAGGTTTTCACAAGGGAGTGGGGTTCATCCAACAGTACTGTGCAGGATAAATCTCAGGGGAGAAAGAGCAGGGCAATGTGAACACTGATGGGATTGAAGTGAAATAAATCTGTTAACTTGTATTTTTTTTTACAATAAAGGCAGATGACCAAAAACAAGAAGGGGCTCACATAAAGAATAAACAGTCTTGATATGTCCAGATTGAAAACTGTTACTGCACATAAAATTTGTGACACAAGAAATGAGAAATCCATTATTTCAAAAATAACTGCAATAAAAGTGGACAGGAAAAACAATTTGAAACACATCAACTTAAAAAAAAAAAAACTATCCTCAATGTTTTACCCATTCACCTACATGCAGTCTCAATACACACTCCGGACTGATAAGGTTCATTTCATTTGCATCACTCACTGGTGCACTGTACAATGTTTATTGCTTAAGAGCTGTAAACCCATGCTGGGTTATTTTCTGTCACTCTGTCAGCAGTTGTAATATGAAATACTGCCCTTCCCACTTCATTTGCTCAAACCATGTTTATCAGAGTCAAAGTGCTGCGGCCATTTCTAAGACAATATTGTCTCCTGAGTGTGCAAGCAATTCTGTTTTATGGAATGACGTAAAGAAAAAACTAGTAGGACTGTAGAGAATACATCAGTTCTTTGATTTGCAACAAACAAGCTCAAAACCAACCAACAAGGAAATTCTAAGCTGCTCAAGACTTTGTGAAGTGTTTCCCAGTTCCTAAAAGCATGCACATGAATAAAACAAGGTATCAGGTAATCTGAAAAAAAAAAGGTGCATGCCTGAACCTTTAAGAACCGATTCAATCTCATCCCCAGGTGTGAGTATTATGTTTAGCCCCCTCAGTGGGGAAAAAAAAAATATAGAATCCCTTGGATAGCTCCTCTATTTAGTCCACTGACCTCGGCCAGTTTTGAGTAAGACATAATGCACTAAAATGTTGAGGTTTTAAATATCACAGACATTAAACAAGAATGCCAAATCTGCTTTTTTTTCTGTGGCTCAGTCAAATACTAAATGTACAGTCTATGCTGGGGTTACTTACACAGAGGAAATCTTCTAAGTGACAAGTTTGAGACAAGTGTTGAAATATAGGGTACATCAAAAAATAGAGGAAGTTTAGTTTACTAGTAAAATCAATCCTACGTGTGTGTAGTTAGAAAAAGTCTTCGCACAGCACCATCTACAAAATGTTAACTGTTTATTTGTCACAATTTCCTTTGCTACTACAAGACACTGTTTTGTTTAAGATAAAAACATTATATATTTGTGATCGTCTCTACAACATCTGGAGGTAGTTTAGATTACTTCCTATTAGGACTCGTTCACAATTTTCATCTTTCAAAATCACTTCACACAAGTCACAAGAATTGGTAGAACTTAGGAGCACGACAACGTATTCGACAAAAGTAATAGAATACTTGGCATTTTTTTTTTTACTTTTTAGGCATCATTTTTCATATAAAAGGTTTATATAAAGCAGTAAGTGATGAAATTCAAGTTCTGATTTTGTAAAAAATATCCTCCTCTACTGCATGACATAATGGTTAGTTCCATTTCGTTATAAACAATAAGGGTTACTCCATTCTTTCAGGGGTAGCACAGAGGCTGGAATCATATTTTCAATTAAATTGTACTGTTTATGTGCCTCAACAGACTCACCCCTCAGAAAGTGGTCCCTCCATGTTTTAATCAAGAATGTGGAATACTCCATTAGTAGTGCAGAGGTGATACAACAATAAATAAATAAAATATTTTTTTTTCTTTCTTTTTTCGCACGTTTTTGTCAAAGACCATTATCCTTCACCTGTGAGCTACAAAATGTGAAAAGCTGGAATCTTGTCAACGAATTAGTGTACTTATGTTTGCATTGTCCTTCATGAGGAATTATAATTTTTATACCATGCCCAAATTCAACTTGTCAGTTTCACCGGTAAAAGAGTAGAAAATCTGATTTTGTTGCAACTCTCAGACTCCAATAATCATAATAGTAGTGTACAAGACATATATCTGTAAAGCGCCACCTGGCTTGTCATTATATACAAATAATTTGCTTTTTGTAAAATATACATAAATACAGAAAAATACTTATTATTTTCTGTCAAACAGAAAGCACAAAATAGTGTACTGAATCAAAACTAATCGATGACTTACTCTGAACTACCACATAACGCAAAGCCTTCCTTCCAAGAAACCTTTCATTTGCACATCAATGAGTTGACGAATAAAAACAAATCTACTCATATTACTAGCGGATTAATGTACTAAATTTTCCGGATAATGGCAACTGTTCCATTTAGGGTCAAAGTTCATGTCAGTGGAAAAGTAGCGGTCCGGATGAAATGCCACGTTCCATCTGCATATAGATATCATTTGTGTCAGCTTTTCACTGTCAGCTTCTGTAATATTGTATTTCAGTGAATAGACAGTGGCTATTTCAGTGTCTTATGCATACCCTTGTTATTCTCTTTTTTCACAGAGATGCTCAGCAGGGAGTGTACTGCTTAGCATTTACGCGATAACCAAACAATCAGCTGGAAACAAGTCACAAGAGATAGTGCATGAGATTTTGGATGGTAACCTTCTTTTAAGCAAATATTTTCTTTGCTTGGCAAAATTCTATGCTCAGCAACGCTATACAATTGGCCCCTTGCCTTAAGCATGCTATCACTTGAATCTTGTTCTATCATGAAACTTCGATCATTTCACAACTGCTGCTAAGTGAACGCTGGCTGCTCAGTGAACGACTGTCGTAATCGTCTTCCTCGCCCTCCATGCCAGTGCCATAGCTGCTCATGTCGATGATCTCTCGTCTCGGTCGGACCACTATCTCGGACACCGCCTCCCGAGCGCAGGAGCTAATTTCCTCGCACGACGCACTGCGGCCAGCAACCACCATGGGCGTCTTGCGGCTACAACGCGTGTCACTCCGCTCGCAGTCTGTGTGATCTGAGATTGCCTGGCTGCGCTTTGCAACATGTCCACCCAGTCTCTCTGGTGGCAACCGGTCCAGTCTACCTCCAGACTCCTCAAAACTGTTGCCACTTTCTTTACGTTTTTGCCACACGTTGGTCTTGCATTCTTCAGTTGATGGAGTAGCAGTGTTCAACTGCTGGGCAGTTGCATTGGAACTGACTCCTGTTTCTGTTATTGTGGAAAAAGTTGGACAAGATTTTACTTCTGTTAGCGAAGGTGACTGCACGAGATTCCCTAGGCTGTCAAAGAGATTTGGTGATTGGGTGGGATAATCTGGGGAAATTCCTGAGCTGCAAGGGCTGTTAAGAACCAAGGATCCTGACTCACTGTCACATGACGGCGATATTCCAGAGCTGGTGTCACTGCTCTGTGAATGTGTGCTGATCTGGCGAGAAAAGAATGGATTTAGTGGATCTTTTGGGGAGGAGCCTCTGTTCCCGGAGGATGAATGCTTGGGCGTTTCTAGCTGGACATGCACTTCTTGGGCCACCATCAGCTGTGGCAAGTCCTTGCCCTTGGCCTTACCCGTCTTGTATTTGGTCCCAGTGTTAGGAAGTACAGCATCCATAATCTTTCCGACCCGCGTTCGGCCAAACTGAAAGCCGACCGATGTTTCGCTTGGTGAGGGAACCTTCTTCACCTTGGGCTGGAAAGACTCCTTGGCAGGCTTGACATTGACCTGCAACTTTCCTGTCGAAGTCTGCTTGATAGCCATTTGCATTGGGCGTGGGCTAATGGTGCGTGGGGACCTGCTCCTACCCTTAGCCTTGGATTTGCCATCCATCTTTAGAATACCTCGTCTTTTTACATCAATGACTTTTCTTTGATCTTCTTTCCTTGGGTTTGTTAATCCGGTAGCAGTTCCTGCGATGCTGGGGTCAATAGGGACGCGGGGTTCAATGACTGCAGACACTTGTAACTGTGTTTCAGTCTGTTTGGTTTGTGTTTCAGTCTTTTCTGTGTGTGGGTCAGGCTTTTTGGTTTCTATAATAGGAATTAGCTTTTGGGGCTCAGGTTTCCTGGGTAGTTCAAGGGGAGCGCAAGAAGTTTCAGCAATTGCTTTGGTCTCCTCCGTTCTGACACTGGATTGTTGGCCTGTGTTGGCTTCATCTCGGGTGCGGTTTTCTGCTTCATCTTGAAGTCGCTTCTCTGCAAGTCTTGCACAGGCCTCAACAAATGGATTCTTGTGGCGTACCTCGGGTGAGTTGACACTGAGGTGGCTGGTGCCCCAGGCCAGCTGGTCAAGCAGTCCACAGGGGCTGCTGCTTCCAGACCGTGGCTTCTTGGACTCAGATGAGGGAGGAGAGCCCAGATAAATGGGACCCATTTTTGACACCTTGACATCCAGCCCACGTGGCCTTTGTAATGTTCGTGACCGATGCTTAGGACTCCAATCTACCGGAAGGGTTGACAGCTCCCCGTCCTTCTGTTCACTGATGGACCTCTTGTGAGTTCTGTGCTCAGCACTTAAAGGGGTGGTTGGTTCCGATGTGACCGCTTGGCTATCCTCTGTCAACAGGATGGGCTCGGGAAAAGGGGCCCCTGGCTTTGTCACCCGGACAGTCGGACGGGGCTGGGTTGAAGAGGCCGTTGTGACATCTTCCACTAGCTGAATTGGGCATGTTGCCAATTTGGAATCACTGGAAACCGAGGTAGACTGGCTGCTTGTTGTGGTCGTGCCTGTCGCAGTTGACAGTTCAGGGGGCAAACTCTTCAGTGGTTTATCTCTATGAAGGCGCTTCTCAAACTCTAAGAGTTGGCCCAGGAAGTTGAAGTTAGGAGATATGGACTGACGCTTCTCTTTTACATATCTGGACAAAAACATACAACACGTGACAATGTAGAGGATTTTATTCATAATAAGCTGCAATTTTTAAGTACAACCCCCTCCAAATAGCACTGATCTCTTTTGTTTTGTTTTTTGCCAGATTGACTAAAAACACAAATCTCTTTAAATATATTACTATTATTAAATACTCACTTGTATGCCTCATCAACACTCAAGTTCATGTGCTTCATGATGTAGGCTATTGCCACTGTTGGTGACCGCGAGATACCAGCCAAGCAGTGAACAATGACACAACCATTTGCTGACCGTACTTTTTCTGTTGGTTCAATTGATTGTAAAACATACATGTAAGAATACAACCAAGCTTTTTGTCTGGAAAGAAAAACCTCAAGTTTGTGTTTGCTTTTACCGTCACATACGTCATCTAAACGGCCACTTCAAGATGTATGTTGTTACTCTCAAACTTCTAATACTGAGGATTCGTTTCACATACACAAATAGCTCTTGAAAAGCAATGTTGCTTGATTTCTTGACCCTGTCATTATATTAAATAAATCAAGTATTGGAAAGCATGAATCATAAAGTTCTGTCACAGCACAAAAAGGATCTCGGCTTCATACGTAAGCCATTTTTTTTAGTTTCATCTTCATTTAACATCATCAGTTTTCTGTAGCTAAGAAAAGTTTGCCATCAAACACATACTCAAGACAATGGGCCCTCCAAGACCCTGTTATTGAAAGACAATGGCTCAAACCTCTTACCAATGAAGTTCATGGCATCTTCAAACCACGGCAGGAGTTTCTCCCCGTAGTTGTCCCGGACAGGGATGCGGTGGAAGTGGCCCGGCGCAATGTGCCGGGGCGAGGGGCATGTCTTGCTGACGTTCAGCACGTAGTTGATGCCGTTGGCCCGCATGATGTCCTCATCCAGGACGTCCTGCTGTGAGCCGATGTACAGGTAGTTCAGGACCCGGGTGGGGCCCACCTTAGCCACGGGCAGGCAGGGCTGTGAGAGGGTTGGGCCCAGCATCGTGCATTGTGCTTGGCCCTGTGGCTCACACAGGTAGGGGAAGGCAGTCTTGAAGGCTGTAAAGCCTCCTGCATCATTAAGAAAAACAAAAAAGGGAAAAACAAAGAAATTATTCAAGAAATTATACAAAACAATGATACACGTACCCACTGCTTAAAAAACTCAATATCTGTACGTACAAGAACACCCCTTAAGCACACCACTTGAAGTACAGGTGTATATAACTTTTAGAGTGTATTGGACAAGGGGATATGTTTTCCCCTTATTCTTGATCAGAAAAATGTCTCCACCGAGGACATTGATTTGACATTTTCAAAATTTTTCAAGTTTCTGTCTAAAAAATCAAATACATAAATCAAATGCTCTGGCACATACACTGTACCAAGGCTAGTACATGTACCTGTACACGAGTATGGTGTTATGCAATACAGTCAATGGGTTCACAGATGTAAATAACATCACACCAACTGACAAAACTACATAAATATACATGTCATGCACTTTTTAATATCATAACTGTGCTTTCAGGAAAAAGTTATCCGGTGCAATATCCTTGAATAACATCGTTTTGTTCCTTTTTCTCCCATAATCATCAATTAAACAAGACCAACATGCCCACTTTTTTCGAGATAGGAAGTGATGCAAGAACTCAAACACCGTCAGATGTAATTGGTGGCCTACACATCGGTTTGGAGGAACCCAGCGCTGGTATTGATGCGTGGGCGTCATAGTGCGGAAGTCCGGGTCATATTCGTATTGATTTCAATTGGGCACTCTGAGTAAAACACGCACAGGTGAATTTTGCAAGCATGTACATGTACACCATTTGTTCAAGCACAACGTGCCCATCCATTTGGTATGCACTGGTGGACTGGACTGGCTGGTATGCATGTGTACACTGTGTATATCCACAGATCTACAAAGGTGGAATGACACCTTTGTATTAAGTACATTTATGAATCTCTGCACTGCACCAGTCTATAATGTACATGTACAGTGTACACATTCAGTTGAATTAATTGTGGTACGTATCTTGCCATAGGCATAGCCATAGCCATAGATATAGCCACAGTCAAAGTGATGCCCGTGAAATGTGTTTTTCCCCCCACCTCTGTGGCTTATTCATGCAATTCAGCAGTCAATGGGAGCATGCTGGATATTACAGGTGCTACATTTCCCGTGTGATGCCTGCTGGTTTAATGTTGAAGTCCCAATTACATGTATGTTTCACGGGTAGTGTAGCACCAGAGACCCCACCTGACTATGCATGTGGCCAGTGACATTTTGTTTATCAACAAGCGGCATATATTGTAGCCTTCATGGGGTAGGGGGTACAAATCTAAACTTTTCTCCTCTTATCTGCCCTAACAACAACCCTCAACTCGAGCCCCTTTCTCCAAAATAATCCCGAGCCAGAAGTTTCAAAGAGCTACATGTCATTTAGAAGAGTTGCAATTCATTTCTAACAATTCAGAATTCATCAAACTCTGTAAAAAAAAATTCAACAACGGTCATTAAATGAAACTTCTGTTACTTGGACTCAATGCAAACACCGTACAAATAAATCATTGATTTCAGAAATTCTTCAAAAAAGAAATTAGAAAAAAAACCTCTCCACAAAACAAAGAGTTTCCTTTGGACATGTACCAGTACATACATGTAAATAATCATTTTATTTTCAAGGAAGTGTTGCAGAAGGAAAAACAGAGAATTCCTGGGACTAATGAAAAACCATTCTAATCAGAAAAGTTCTAACTGTTCTCATTATACAGGTTCTCTCCCATCACAGCTACACAACAACAAACCATCTGGCTTGCGTGTTGCCAATGCCACGCATTAGATGCATGGCCATGAGCCAAATACAAGGCTATATTAAGAGAGGCCCCCCCCCTCTACTGTCGTAAGCACAGGGATGAGTCATACATTGATATTTATAATGTTAGCAGATGGCCTCCCTTCACGACACACAAACACATAGGCCTATGCATGCACCACGGGGGCACACAGCCACTACATTATTCTTCTCAACCCTGTCCCCAGTTTATAAATAGACACGGGCATAGGTGGCCGGGTATATATTCTGGAATTCTCCTTCACTCTGTCTCCTGTTCTGTTTTTTCCTTTTTTAATATAAGGGCGGGAGTGGACATCTATGTAGGGCTTCACTTGTCGGGCCAAATATTAGATGACGAACGTCATGTTCTAAGCGTTGCTAAAGATGCCGTGGAAGAAAATGAAACGCGTCGGCGTGTCATGCATGCAGTCCAGAGAGACAGAAAGTGATATTACACCTTTAGGCAGAGGGAAAAAATTAATCCATCAGCAGTCTCTCATTTGCTGATTCATGTGTATTTTTTTCTTAATCCTCTGTGTTACTTTGTTTCAGCATCTCAAATTGTATTTTCTTTTTCTAACTTAAAACACGTGCCGCAGGCACAGCAAACTGATTAGAACACTATGCTGCATATCTATGCACAGTGTAGGACTTGACTTTATAATACTGAAGAATGAAGTCACCCAAATAAAACAAACTCTGTCAAGACTTTAAATAAACAATGTGGAATGGCAAGATTTGTTCCCCAGAATGGACACAAAACTACCGGTATTCACTGGTGCAAGTCTTTTTGTCTAAAACCTGTCCAAGCATCATTTGAAGCGAAAGATCACGTGTGAATTTGACACCATATGAAAAAGATCATTGTTTAAAGGGAAGAGATGGGTGGGTGTGTTGGGGGAGCTACGTGTGAGTTATCTCGCACCTGACAGCATAGAGACCGTCTTGAATGCTTCAGTTAGCTTGCTGAGAAGGACAACAATAAAGCTTTCGGGACACAGTCGGCTGACGTCCTGTGAACTCTGATCATAGACTATGACATCACATGAGGGACCAAATTTCTCTTCTTGACCGGATGTGGACAGGAGTTCCTGGATGGAGAGCTGCAAAAGGTGAGAACAAAGAAATTGAAGTCAGTTCAGATTTTCAACTCTTTGTAAATTCTCCTTGAAGGTAAAAATGTGGTGATTATAAAATTTCCACAATGGAATGAACATGTAACTCAAACCCAAAGTCTCAGGGTTTCAAGCTTTTGCTCATGTGAGTAAAGAATGAGGGGAGAAAGAATGACACAATATTTTACAAGTTTTACTTGAATTATCATAAGACTTCTACAAGTGGCTCAGACTTTTCAATTTACTGGTATGTATGGTTTTTAAGTATCTATTTTTAAGATAGGGTGCATAACTTCTAAAGATCAAAATCTGTGACTGTGCGTCACTCAATAACTAAACTTATTAAAGTAAAACTGGGCTTTCAGGAAACTGTGAACAAAGAGACTGATGTGTGCACACAACTTGTTCTGCACAATGCCTGTCACGCAATCAGACAGAACTTTGAACCTGTAGTTTGTTGAACTTGATTATCACAAGGTCTAGCATTTTGGGTGCAAATCAGAGTCACACTTGATGAAGTCAGCATTTTTGTCTTGGTAGGAAAACAGTCTGCATTCCAGAAGTCCAGCCAAATAAGTATATTGCTGAGACATCTGTCTAATGTTGAAATGATTTGATTCCTTGTAAACTATCAAGCATCTCAAGGACAAGTACATGCAACTCTGTATGTAAGAGACTGACAAATTGGACGGTACTCTCAACATGCATTCTGTTCTATGGACACCAAGGCAGTAAAGTTAGACCATGGTAAAGTTAGACGACCATGGTTTCCTCATTGGAAGTGTTCCTCTACCATAGGGATTTCTGGTGAAATTTGAACTTTGCCAAGGTCGGGTAAAGCTGTGTTGCGCTGATAACAGACTGAATCTTTGCAACATGGGGGGTAAAACATGCAACAAAATCTCACTGGAGTTGGCAGATGAAAAGAAATCATGCATGAAATATACATCATAAAGATAAGACCCTGCTATGTATTTATTTTGGTTGTTTTTCAACATCACTGTGTTCACAACAATGCCCGACATCATCACTTTTCTGTGAAGTCAATATGACTTATGCACCACAAGCAGGAAGTAGTGGGTTCCAATCCAACCCAAGCAAGCTAGTGATGTTATTTTTTGGCAACTCTCAGCACAGACTGAGAGTCTAATTGGAATATACACGTCCATCAGTGAGGGCAAAACCTGGTGTGAAAATTAACATCCCTGGTATAAAGCTAAATTAGCATCATTGAGTCAAGTTGACTCATTTTGTGGTGATGCTTTGAGTCAAGCCACATCGCTGTCATCACACAGTGGTCATCTAACAAAATTGAGGTGGTTACTGCTTGGATTTTCATGAATTACATGTACATTACAGGGTGGGTTATGCTTTGATGGGTAGGCCTTTAGTCAAGCCGAGTCAACTCATACCATACTGAGTCATCCTGAGTCCACAAAAGAATGTCACGACTATTTAAATGAGCATGGGTTAAGTCTACACCAAGTGTAAATATTTCTGGATAGCTCTCCTTCAAATGACCATAAATTGACTGGCACGGGTGACAAATGAATAAGAACCCCATGAATAAAACCTCAAAGCCTAAATGTACATGTATGCGTGTGCATATTAATGTTAAATCTGTGTTTGTACACATATGTACATGTACTAGCACATGCTTATGCTGCAGTAAAATTCTGTTGATAGGCTTCCACTGAATTGCACAAGCACACAGGGAAGTTCATTATGCCCAGACCAGGACAGGGTCAGTTTAGAAGTGAGTCATTCGGAGGTTGTCAAACATTCTGCACTTTGGTCAGATTTTAACAAGGTGGTGCTGTTTCAGACGGCTCGAAACTTGTACATGTACATGGGCTGGCACATGCTCGCTGCATTCAAGACAAGAACTAAAATGGGCATGGACCTGACAAAAGATGAGAACATTGCAAAGCAAAAAAAATTTCACGATGTCACTGTTTGCTGAATGACTAGTCTGTTTGCACAACCAATTTGCCAATGTGAGTAGCGTGTGAGGTTACCCCATAGCAACCATCTCCATAACTACATGTACATGTACCATACGTGCTCTATGATATTCAGACACATATTCAACCAAAAATACATGTAGACTCAATGTTTTTGGAGAAAATAAATAATTTTTCTTTTCATTTTTAAAGTCTATTACTTTCCTACAGACATTTTCTATACTTTTATTTCAAAAATAAAATTACACTCACAATTGATTTTACAAGCATCAAGCATACATGTACCGATACCTGAACCACCAGTTAACACAAACTCACCTCACAAAAATGTTTGGCAAACGAGAAAAATGCCACAATGACAGAGTCACCCAAACCTCAATACAACAACAGCCCTACTGAGGAAAAAAAGTAGAGCCTGGTGTACAACATTATTGGAAGTCCAGCCAAGAAAAAAACAAACACATACTGTTCCATGTATAAATGTACAAAAACTCTCTCAAGAGACAGCTGTTTGTCTGGACTTCATGATGTATTTGCCGCAGGGCAGCCAAAACAATAACAGCATCTTGGAGAAAGGCCAATTCCAACGTTTGACCAGGCTACGGACAGTTACATTCTCTAGCTGGTGCTTTGTTGCTGACCATTAGCTCAGAGGAAAGGAATGCTCCATCAGTTGACAAATGGCTACAATATTTCAAGTCACACCTGACGAGTCCAATGCTCCACTGCATTTCCAAACATGTACAAACAATATACTATATTGGTAAATGCATGCACATTGCACAAGACTATGGGCAAAAGATCCCCATAAAAAAAAAACAGGAAATCACAAATACATTTTAGTTTACAAACATGCATACCGGTACATACGGTATATGCATGCCTTGCAAAAATTAGCCTGGAACAGTTGTCCCGATTGAGCATGTGCAATGACATTTTGGCAGCAATCCTGCCCTTTTTGTGGGAAAACTTGTCCATGATCACAAAATTTTGAACTTGTGTCACAGTAGTACCTGTCCAAGGGGCCACGAAAAGAACTTGTCATCGTAGATATCTGTCCTCTAACCACCATGCTAACAGGAAATGATGTATGCATCCCAACAGTTCAAAAATCATACCCTGCACGCTTGATTCTTTCCTACAGGTTCCTGAAACACAAGCCCGAGTTCTAGTTTTGTTGCCAGTGAAATTCAACGACCATTACCATGCGGTTTTACTACTCTTGGAAGAACTCACAAACTGGCCCGTGACTCCTCTATCACCACTCAACGGTCAATCACAAATTCATTCAAACAAATCAGTTCATCTTCCATGTACATGTAAGTTATGTAACTTATTGGATAGAAACACCTCTGAACATGAAGCCTTGTCGCCCCAATTTCCATTCACGTCTGATTTCCTTCCAGACAAAAATATTTCACCCACGTTTGAAAACCTACAACTCATGAATCATCCGATCACACCACGATATACCCCCAAAAATCTTATTCAGAGGCGCCCTTATCAACACCAGCAAAAATCGTCAGAATGAGAAATGGCTTTTCCTTCCAATGCTCACGCAGAGCAATATTCGCCAGCATCTGGTCAGGTCTAAGACAGACTTTTTCTGAAACCCGAACAGCCCTTCAGATCGGAAATGACCCCACCCCCTGTTGAGGGACTGGTTCCTGCGGCAATTCTCCAAAGTCAAGATCAAGTCTGCCTCAGGCAGCCAATTTTTTGGATTCTCTCTATTAAAAAAAGGAAAAAACCACACACTCACACACCGACCGGCCCGCTGACTCGCATACATGTAGCTTCAATCTCCATTGTTTTGCCACAAACCAATTACCGACATGCAACTTTTGGTGGTGATCAAATCCTTGAGAGCATTACTCACTGGACGTCAACTTGGCAGGGGCTACAGATAGGAAATATCACAATTACACCAGTGCATTTGTTATAAAAGAGACCACACTTCAGGGGCCCAAACAAATCCAGAAACGTAGCCAAAGCACGCTATCACCCAATAGATGCAACACAACAACACACCATACAAGCTCGGGTGTGGTTTTTGGTTTTCTCTGCTGGGGTAATGGCAACAACATAGACAGTCACCTTTGATCTCTACACTGAGGGTACCGTTTCAAAGGGAATTCCCATATGAACCTGTGAAAGGTATGAGCAATACATACATGTACATGTAGTTTGCAAAAAAAATAAATTGTTCTACCAAGTCGACTTACTGCACACTGTATGCAAGGCATACAACAATCATAAACAATGTAACACTTGTCTTTCTTCTACCTGTTTAAACCTAAAGCTCTTGAAGTTGCTGGAAATACTATTCTAGTGCTCACCAATCTTACCAGCAGGTACATGTAAATGTATACATCCTCATTTTGAAAAACTTGTGCCATGTTAAAGTTGTAATTGGATGTTTAATATTTTTATAAAGGTTACTCCAGCTTCACTACAAGGAACTAATGGCAACCTTGTCATTAGCAACTTGCAAATGACCACAACCTGGCATTGTACTGGTTCCTTGGTTTGTGGGCAAGAAATACTGGAGGGGGTCGGTGTACATGCAAGTTAGAACTTGCAGTACTGTCCAGTTCCAAGAATGAAGTCACTTGAACATGTGACAAACCAAACTGGCCTGGTGCTCCAGATCAAAAACGTCATTGTTATATCCTCCTGTGAGTCATGGAACAAGACGTCCTGCCTTGACCTTTTGGAAACCCCACAAGGCAGGCAATGAGGGGAAAATCCAAAATTCGGGAAGTATGCCAAATGATTACACATCACAGGATATGCTTAAAGGGAGTGCAGGCTAAATACTTTCACAATACTTGCATTAATAAATATGATGAGCTTATTTACAATCAAAACGAACAACTAAAAGTGCAACACGCATCGTAGTTAATGGGAAAAGTTCCATAAATATCAGTGCATGCACCTTTCCATGGTGAACAGTACATGTAGTATATACATGTATATGTGGCACAGTAGATTTATCAACACACCAACAGGTACATATGTACA